TCCCAGCCCAGCGCCCCCGGTCGCCCGGCGCCGGCAGCTCCCGGCCCTCTCCACCGGACATGCCGGGAAACGCGTGTCCCCACCGGGTCATCTGCCAGAGCCCCCCGCAGTGCCCCCCGCGCGGTGCGCCAACGCCCGCCGGCCTAGGGGCCCCCGGCGCGTGGGCTCCGCGTCCGCGCGGAGAGCCCGGAGACCTCGGCGCCTCGGAGGGACCTGCGGACGCGGCCTGGCCGGCCGGGGGAGACGCAGCCGACTTCTCCGATCGTTGTGTGTCCCATGGAACTTTCTGTCACAATGGACCTGTTCCATACCTCTGCCGTTCAGTCTGGGAGCCGCTAGCCACATGGGCCGACGATTTAGTTTTAACATGTGGCTTGTGCCACCGAGAAACTACATTTTAAGTCGTCCTTAATATTTCAGTTCAATTTAAACGACTACATGTGGGTAGTGGCTACCATTTTTAAGGCAGGCATAGTGTGCAGGGTTTCGGAACTAGGTGGCTGATTCTTATATTCGTCCCCAGTGGTTTTCTTTGGAGTTGCTGTTAGTGACCATTCAGATATCCCGAAGTGGACATCGTTGGTCACCAACATGTCTGTGTTTTGTTGTTGTCAGCTTTAAGCTGACAGGTCTTGAGTCTGGATCATTTCCCTCCATCGTGGCTAGGCCTGGTGAGCAAACTCAGAGTTGGTGTCAGGTCTTCTGAACACCTTTTGACTCTGGGCAAAAAAATTTCTTTCTTTTTTTTTTTTTTGCAGAGGTTTTTGCTATAGGGTGCTTGGGCTTGCCAGAAAGCAGGTGCTTGCGCTTGCCAGAAAGAGAGACAGAAAGCGGGAAATCGCCCCCCCAGGGGATGGCCACGGTGCAGTCCCTTCTCCTCCATTCTCCTCTTGGGATCTTGGGCATGCACGCACACGCACCCGGCGTGAATTTAAGCCACCAGGTCTGGGACTCCAGCCGCGGTCAGCTACATGGGAGTCCAGCGTCATAGCCATTACACCAACTGCTGGTCCCAAGAGCAAAATATGTTCTATTGCTTCATTTCTGTCTGGGGTATAGGGATAATATTTGAAGCCTCAGAGGGAATCAAAGCATTGCCTTGAAGTCTGTTATGTGTTTTTTTTTAATGATTTATTTGTTATTATTTTTTAAGTTTGTTATAGAACATGTGTGCTCACAAGAGGGAGAAAGAGGGGGAAAATGGAAAGCAAGCCAGCAGGTCTGGGACTTGAACTGAGGTTGGCCATGTGAGAATCCAGTGCATTAATCATCACGCCACTAGCTGGCCCCCCATCAATTCTATTACTAAAATGACAACATATTGGCCCTTTCAAGTCACGAATGGATATTTAATGGAAAGATTAAGAGTTATGACTTTTAGGGGACAGCAGGCAGTGGAGTGGTTTAGGACGCTGGACTCCCATATCATGGTTCGAGTCCTGGTCCTGGTGGCTTGAAACTCATGCTGAGTGCTTGTGTGCGTGCCCAAAGTCCTCAGAGGAGAATGGATTGTGGCGTGGCCATCCCCTTCGAAGGGGGTGATTACTCACTTCTGTCTCTCTGGTGAACAACCGTGCCCTATAGCAAAAAATTACTCTTTAAGAAATTATGCTTATAGTTAAATCCAGTCCTAGAATACCCAGTAAGTATGAGAGAGTTCTCTTTTCTATGAAGAGTCTGGAATTTTCTTCTTCTTGTCTGGTTGGTGAGAACTTTGTGGGTAATCTTTGAGTCTAGATCTTGAGGAGAAATCCGAGACTGTAAAAAGTGTGCACTGTTGTTGGTGTGATTCCAGAAAGTCTTTCTAACAGCTTGGTGGGCAGCTTGGGGCTCTGGGAGGGTCACAGGTAGTTAAGGACCCCCATAGACAATGGATCTGACTCTGAGTTCTGCTGCTTGCCCGATCCTGGGTGTTACTTAACCTTTATGAACTGTTAGCTTCCTTATTTGTAAGAAAGGGAAGATAGCTGCTCTGTAGGGTTATGGAGATGAAATGAAAAGAAGTCTCACTTGAAATCGGCTCACATTAAACGAGAAGTATTGATGATTGTGATTTTTCTGTAAATGAAAGCAGTATTCACAGATCCTCACTTGCCCAAGATGCAGCATCTTACAAGATGCTGTAAGAATACAAAAAAGAAAGGGACCAGCAATTAGAGTAATGACTTTGTCTCTAGACTCCCATGTAGTCAACCATGGTTCGAGTCCTGGACCCGGTGGCCCAAGATCCCTAGAGGAGGATGGAGGAGAAGGGATTGCGGCATGGCCATCCCCCCTAGGGGGTGGTTTCTCACTTTCTGTCTCTCTGTCTCTTTCTGGCGAGTGCACGTGCCCTATAAAAAAAACAAACAAACAAACAAACAAACAAAAAAAAACCCTCTCCAGAAAAAAAGAATACGGAAAAAAAAAAAAAAAGTTTGAAAATAGTGTATCCATTATTTTGTAAACAATTTTCTATAGTCATTGTTTAAACTTTGGTTTTCAGTTCATTTAATTTTTTTATTTTTTAAAAATTTGGTCTAGGACATGTATACACCCTGGAGAGAGACAGAGAGAGGGAAAGTGAGAAAGTTCTCCCTGCAGAGATGACCATATGCTTCCCTTCTCCTTCATTCTCCTCAGGACTTTGCACAAACACGTACCCAGTGTTTCTCAAGGTGCTGGGTCTGGACTTGAACCATGCAGTCAGCAATGTGGGATCCAGCTTTCTTTCTTTCTTTTTTTTTTTTTTAAGAGTTTTTTTGCCTTAGGGTGTGTGCATTCACCAGAGAGAGAGAGAGAGAGAGAGACAGAGATGGAAAGTGAGAAATCACCCCCCCAGGGACCAGCAGTTAGCGTAACGGCTATGTCACTGGACTCCCACGTAGTCGACTGCAGTCTCTTTCTGGCGCGTGCACGTGCCCCATAAAAAAAACAAACAAACAAACAAACAAACAAAAAAAAACCCTCTCCAGAAAAAAAGAATACGGAAAAAAAAAAAAAAAGTTTGAAAATAGTGTATCCATTATTTTGTAAACAATTTTCTATAGTCATTGTTTAAACTTTGGTTTTCAGTTCATTTAATTTTTTTATTTTTTAAAAATTTGGTCTAGGACATGTATACACCCTGGAGAGAGACAGAGAGAGGGAAAGTGAGAAAGTTCTCCCTGCAGAGATGACCATATGCTTCCCTTCTCCTTCATTCTCCTCAGGACTTTGCACAAACACGTACCCAGTGTTTCTCAAGGTGCTGGGTCTGGACTTGAACCATGCAGTCAGCAATGTGGGATCCAGCTTTCTTTCTTTCTTTTTTTTTTTTTAAGAGTTTTTTTTGCCTTAGGGTGTGTGCATTCACCAGAGAGAGAGAGAGAGAGAGAGACAGAGATGGAAAGTGAGAAATCACCCCCCCAAGGAACAGC